TGTTCACTTAGTATGTGCTAATCTTTGGATAGTGGAGACAAAATGAACCTGGAGTCCATAATAGAAAAATGACAAGAATTGTGAGAACTTTGGTATTACAACTATGAACATAAGTAACAACCAGAAAAAGCAGGTATGAATTTCTGCCTCGTACAACCACACCCCACTCAGTCCTTGCTGTTGGGTGACTAACACAGACTGTATCTGTTGTGCCCTGGGGGCCTTAAGCTCCTCCAATTACCACTTACGAACAAAGAGAGAGGAGCCCAAGACTCTACTGTCATTCTTTAAAGAACAGGGATGTGAATTTTCACTTCCACTTTTCAGACTTCAGGTTGTGTTTTATAAAACCCACACACGCTCATCACATCTTTGACAAGTAGGTAAACTTACTAATCTGTTCCATTTGGGGAAAAAAAAAATACCAGGTCCACTGGAGTTTGCAGATTACAGAGCAGGCCTGAAGAGGTTGCTTCCACCACTAAAACAAAAATCAGTGGCTCACCTATACTGTTCCCACAGTGGAAGCCTTCAGTTTTCCAGGGGCATGGGAAGCCGAGGGCCTGCAAGCTGGAAATGCCCTGTGTGTTGCCAGCAGCTGCTCCTTCAAGGCTGGCAAAATCTCTCTGATACAATTACCTGTGCTCTGCTGAGCAGGGAAAGGTTACAGACGGAGGGACTGAGGAATTCAGCATCAATGTGTTTTTAATGGTAAGGATAAAGCAGAACACATTGCAGGGAATGGGAGAAGCCTGCAAATTTCAGCATCATGGAAATTAGATACCACAACAATACAGTAGTTAAACACACACACACACGAGGAGCTGGGCTTTCTTAAAGCAAAGCAGGAGGAGATGGGCTACGAAATGTGCATATGTCACCTTCTCGGCCTCAGTTAACACCTATGGGGCAGTTTGTGGAGAACCAGGGCTCTGGATGGTTCCTACTGCAATGGAGACGCAGATTCTAGACTGTACTGCTCGGGAGGAATCCTTACTCCACTAGGTACTAACTAGGTCACCTTACAAATACCATAATTTCTCCCTGGCTCTCTTTCCTCACCTGTAAAATGCATATAGTAGTAGTGTTATACTATTATGAGAAGTCAATAATTTAATTTTTTGGCAAACACAGTATTAATTTTTGTCTACTGTGATAGAATCACTGAGACCTCCCCATCTCCTAGGTCCTTTCCCTTATCTGGAAAGAGCCTGCAGTAGATTGTTTCCTAAGACAGCCACAATGCCTCCCCTCCCAAATGCTCTTTGGCACTATGACCTCACCACTCATCCCTCAAGAGGTGAAGTTTATGCTCCTTCTTCTTGGGTCTGGATTGACACCATTGCCTGTTTCAGCCAGTAGTCTATCATGGAAGTAATACTATGTGACTTCCAAGATTGGGGTTTAAGAGGTATACAGCTTCCCCCCTTGGCCTTTTGGAATACTCCTTGGAACTCAGCCGGTGTACCCTGAGCAAGCCCAAGCAGCCATACGAAAAGCCCATGTGGAGGAGAACTGGGGACCCAGCTGGCAGCCCCAATCGGTGGCGAGCACCAACTGCCGTCATGTGCTTGAGGCCATTTGGGACCTTCTGGTTATTCCAGTTACCTGGCTATGGAAAGCGGAGAAACCTCCTGATCAACCCACCAAATCATAAGATTTAGCTACAAAGTTTTGGGGTGGTAACCAAAATTGATACCCAAATGACAAATTCTCCAACATAGGAATGTGGCTGGTGCCTTTGTCTGCAACTGCAGTCTGTGCTACAATCCACAGTACTACCATGGAGCCCCTGTACACACCCTGAGGGGTTCCTCGTACCCCACTGAACTGACCCTTTAACCTGCCTGGGAGAACTCTTGCCCTACCAGAGTTACAGCATTCGGTTCTAACTTTCAAAAGTTCTTCCAAATGCCTCTTCAGATTATCATCCCTCTTCTGAGGAAGTGAAGATACATTCTGCAGACCAGGGCCATTATTCATCCACTATGCTTTTTACTCCAGTGTTTTGCCCTCCCCCTCCTCTCCTATACTCATCTCACAGCCGGTTTCCTCATCTCTCAGTTGACCGGCGTCTATCTCCACCATGACAGTCTACCCACACTTCTGCTTCTGCCTGTAGACCTATTTCCTGGAGGGTCATAGTGAGAAACTTTCCCTCATTAAGGTAACAGTCGTGACTCTTCAGACATCCCCACATGGGTCAGGAGAAGCTTTCACCTCCATCTTTAAGAGTCCAGTGTCCTAGACCTCAACCCACAGCCCAAAGGCCTAGCAGGTCCTACGTAATGAGTCTCCAAGTGGTTTCTCTGGTGTCCCAGCATTCCTGAATGAAATATTGGACTTCACATTGCATATCTATTGGATTGTTGCTAGACTAACAGAGACCAGCCATTTGCTTAAATATCATTATGTAATAAATCAATAATGAAATAGACTAAAAATTAAATTGAAAATGACATATCTTTCCCAGTGATTTATTTAATCTACACACACACACACACACACACACAGACACACACACACACACACACACACACACCAGGGTCAATATTATATTATTATTGGTGAAATATGGAGGCAGGGATTATAGAGAAAGGATATACCCACAAAGCAGTTACTGCTCATTACCCCTTCTCCCTAGCCTTTGGCAATTACTGATCTGCTCTCTGTCTAAGGATCTACCTATTCCAGTATTTCATATAAATGGAATCACACACAATATATGACCTTTGGTGTCTGGCTTCTTTCATGGTAATGTTTCAGAGATTAATCTATACTGTAGCATGTGTTAGTGCATCATTCTTTTTTATGGTCGAATACTTCTCCACATCTGTGGATGCATTCATCCATTAATGAACATGTGGATTGCTTCCACATAGACCTAGAAAAGAGAAATTGATGTGAGGCTTAGATATGAAAGATTAGATTAGAAATTTCAAAGAATTGGGTAATGGTAATATTCTGGCTAAGCCCGAATAGAGAGGTTTCATCAAAGACTTGAACACTCAGTTGAGAAACAAGAAGCCATTGTTTCAGTAATAAGGATAACATAGTAGAGTTAAAAACCATGACTTAGGACTAAAGGACAAAACTGAAATAAAGCCATAACAAAGAACAGAACTAAGCCTGACAAGGTCAAGGAGACCCATCAGTAATTTACTGTCTCCAAAATCAAAAAACAACACCCACTACATCTATTAAAGGAGGAGAAAATGATCCAAAATTCTATAAATATATTATCCATATTGTTATCATACAATAAAAGATTATAATATGTAAGAAAGCAGGAAAATGTAAGCCATAATCAAAGAAAAAACTCAATTTAAACAGACCCTGATATTGTCTAGATGCTAAAATACCTCTATAAAGAATTTTAAAATTCTGTTATAAAAATTTCAAAGATGTAAAGGAAAAAGTGAATGTAATGAGTGAACAGATAGGGTATCTCATCATAGAAATGAAAACTATAGAAAGAACAGTATAAGAAGTATAGAACTGAAAATTAAAATACCTCAATTTTCAAAATTCATTGACATTACTACAAAATTTACAGAAATAAAAAGCATGATAAGAGAATACTATGAAAATTGTACACCAACAAATTAGACAACCTAGATGAAATAGGAAACTTCCTAGAAAAACAAATTACCAGCTGTCTCAGAGGAGCTAGAAAATCTGACTAGACCTGTAACAGTTAAAGAGGTTGAATTAGTAATCAGAAAGCCTATGGACAGATGGCTTCACTAGCAGATTATACCAAACATTTAAAGAATAATCACCAATCCTCAAACTCTTCCAAAAAATAAAACAATAGGAAACACTTTCTAACTCATTCTATGAGGCCAGCGTCACTTTAGTATCAAAGCCATACAGACATAGTACAAAAATATAAGCTATAGACCAATATCCCTTATAAATACACATGCAAAAATTCTTAACAATATTACCAAACTGAATCCAACAGCATATTAAAAGGATTATACACCATGACTAAATGGAATTTTCCCCAGGAATGCAAGGGTTGTTGAACATAAAAATATCAGTCAATGTATTATACCACATTAAAAAACAAAATTTTCAAATAAATATTTCTCAAATTTGGTTATAAAGATCAAGCTACATACTCAAAGGGAAGCATGTTGAATACCAAGTAGAAAAAAACACAAACAAAACTTCAATTAGGCACATCATAATCAAACTGCTGAAAACCAAAGACAAAATATTCAAATCATCCAGAAAGAAAAAAGAAAGGACATCACATTCAGGGTAACAGTACAAATTATGGCTAATTTCTCATGTGCAACAATGGATTCCAGAGGACAATGGGGCAACAGCTTTAAGTGCTGAAAGTAAAGCCTTTGTGCATATATAATATTTCTATGTCCCAAAAAAATATTCTTCAAAAATTAGGTGTAGGACAAGCAAAAGCTCAGAAAATGCATCACAAACAGACGTGTACAACAACAACAAAATGCTAAGGAAGCTCTTCAGGCTGCAGGGAAATAACATCAGAAGAAAATTCATACCTACAGAAATGGAGAGCATTAAAAATGTTAAATGTGTGGGAAAAATACAAAAGATAATCTTTTCTCCCCTTCCTTTCTTAAAAGGAAAACAAACTTTTAAAATAAAAACAATATTTTATTATGAGTTTAGGACATATGCTAGAAATAAAATACTTTGACAATAGGTCAGTGGTGTTATTAAAATATGTTGAAAAATTATTTGACACTCCTTTTTTCAGACTGATTCCTGTCTCCTTGAAGGTGGGCTGGACTTACGATTTGCTTATAAGAAACAGAATGTAGCAGAAGTGATGCTATGTGGTTTCCAAAGGTAGGTAATGAACAGGACAGCTCCCACCTACCACATTCTCTGACTGTCTCTGGTCACTCACTCTGTGGAAGCCAGCTGGGAGGGAAACTCAGCCAGCAGCCCATGGGGGGGTCCACGGAGGGAAGCCTGAGGCCTCCCGCCACAAAGCAGCACTAACTTACCTGCTATGCAAGAGAGCCGTCCTAGATCCTGATTCTTCAGCACTGGTCAACATTAATTGCAACCTGTAAGACAGAAAGGCTCTCTCAAAATTCTAGATTTGCAGAAATCATGAGGACATTTTTTTGTTTGCTTTTTTTTTTTTTTACCTGAAAAGATAGAATACTTTATCTTTAGTACTTGGGGTACTTTATTTTTTCCAGTTTTATTGAGATATAATTGACATACAGCACTGTACAAATTTAAAGCATATAGTATAATGATTTGATTTTTATATATTGTAGAATGATTATTACAATAAGTTAGTTAATATCCATCTTCTCATACAGATACAAAAAATACAAAAGAAAAAGAAAAAAATGTCTTTTTCCTTATGATAAGAACTCTTAGGATTTACACTCTTAACTTTCAAATACACCATACAGCAGCGTTAACTATAGTCACCCTATTGTATCTCGTATCCCTAGTACTTGTAACTGGAAGTTGTACCTTTTGACTTCATCCAGTTACCTCTCCTCATACCATCTCACCTCTTTTAACCATGAATTTGAACTTTTTTCTATGAGTTTGAGAGTTTTGTTTTAGATTCCACATATAAGTGAGACTATACACGATTTGTCTTTTTCTGTATGATTTATTTCACTTAGCATAATGCCCTCAAGGTTCATCCATGTTGTTACAAATGGAAAGATTTCCTTCTTTTTTATGACTTAATACTATTCAATTTTATACCACACCTTATTAATCTATTCATCCATTGATAGACCCTTAGGTTGTTTCCGTGTCTTGGTTATTGTAAATAATGCTGCAGTGAGCAGGGGGGTGCACATATCTCTTCAACACAGTGGAGTTTTTTCCTTCAGATATATTCCCAGAAGTGGGATTGCTGGCTTATGTGGTAGTTCTATTTTTTTGTTTTTCGAGGACCCTCCATACATCTTTCCATAGTGGTTGCACCAATTTGCATTCCCACCAATAGTGCAGAAGGGTTCCCTTATCTCTACATCCTCACCAACACTTGTTACTCTTTGTCATTTTTAACAAGACAATAATTGTAATATGTATGCAAGTAATAGAGCTTCAAGATACATGAAGCACAAACAGATTGAAAGAGGAAAGCAGGTAACTATAACTGTAGCTCAAGATTTCAACACATCTCAGTAATTGGTAAGACAGATAGAAAGAAAATCAGCAAGGAAATTGCAGATATGAACAAAACTGTTGACTAACCTGACATGATTGCAAGTATAGAAGGGCTACAGCCAATACCTGTACCACACAGAAGCTTTCAAATGCACGTGGAAGTGTTCTCTTTTGGTTGGTTGCTTTGTTACACATTTGTCAAAACTCATCAAATGTACGTTTAATATCTGTGCTTTTCAGTGTATGCAAATTTTAACTCAATTTTTTGAAAAAAGGGATCAGTCAGTGTAGGATTTTGATTTTCAAGACCGCCAGAAAAAAATCGGTGTGATCAAAAAGAAAATTGTCTAATGCTTGGGAGAAGGTTTCAGGATGAAGCTTCCCCCTCCCCCCTCAGGTGTGGGCCTGGAGGTGCCCCTGAAGACCCAGCTCCCCTCCTCCCATCCCTGCTCCCAAACCAGAATCACAGAACCAACTGTCCCGAGAGGTCCGCTGCAGTCAGACAAAGACAGATGCTTTCTTCTCCACGGTCCTCTTCTGGCCATTTAGGGAGGGGTTATCCCTTAGCACCTCTTATTCTGGACAGTCCTGAGGGGTCTTCCAGGTTACAATCTGTGGGATGTGGGAGGGAGGGAAGGAGGGGGCTTAGGTCTCTTGCTCCACAGAACAGGCCCCACCCATCTGCACATTTCAGTCCCACCTACTCAGGAAGACTTCCTGACTCTCTTCACCTTCATTTTCTTTTTCTGTCTTCCTGTATGGATCAAAACCGAAAGATGTGAGTCTGGGTTCTGGCCCCATTGCTTCCCCAAGGCTATGGGATTCAGGTGAGCCATCCCTGACTTTGGACTTCTATGGCTTTTTTGTTTCTCTGGACATTGGCCACTTCTGGCAGTGTCTCTCGCTATTCCTGCCAAAGATTGGGAAGACATTAGGAAAGCAGGGAAACAGCAGAGGTCAGTGGGTGGCTGACCCTAAATGCCATTCTGATCTTGCTACTCCCCTGCTTCAGAAACTGCAGCCCTTACGATTAGCATGTATAATGTGGGGGCGGGGCACGGGGGGGGGCTGTGCAACACAGAGAAGACAAGTAGTGAGTACAGAATTTTACTCTGCTGATGGACAGTGACTGTAATGGGGGATGTGGTGGGGGGGGACTTGGGGAAGAGGAGTCTAGTAACCATAATGCTCTTTATGTAATTGTAGATTAATGATAATAAAATGAATTTTAAAAAACTGCAGCCCTCAGCGGACGAGCTCTTCATAATGTGGCCCTGCACCTCTCCTGCCTCAGGTCAGGCCTCACAATCCTGGAAGCAACCGTGATTCGGGACCATACCTGAAGCTCCCCCAGGGCAGCCAGTCCCCAGACCCCTGTGGCCCGGTACATGCCCCTCTAAGCGGCCCCCAGCATGGCCCCACCCCACCCCACTGGATGGCCTTGTCCTCAAACCCCTCCCACCACCCCTGGACTTCACTGCCACAGAATGTTCTAGGACTGTAATTCATGATTGAATTGTGTGTTTCTTCAAGCTCTACCTCCCCACTACACACTTACACTTGCTTGTTACTTGCCTTGTCAACCGCTGTATCTTTGATATTTGGCACAGTGTATTAACTAAGTCATTTATTTTCTGTATTTGATGCTTTGACATCTGAGGCCATGCTAACTGGGAAGGACAGCCCCTCCCAGGAATAATTCCTCCCACACCCCCATCACCTCCTCCGTGGGCTCTCACACTCTGACCACTGGCCACCAGACAACAGGGGGCAGCCCTTGTGCCCCAGAGCCCCTGAGTTATTCAAACTGGCCAATCCTGAGCCTGTTCACCCATCTGGCCCAACCTTCTTGCAGAGACCACAGTCAAGGCTCTTTACCCACCACTTCCCTCTCTCCCCCATCTCCTGATGACCCTGGAGCTTCCCAGAGTGGCTGCCAGCATAGCCTGGTATGTCCCCCTTTTTGAGAACTGTAACAAACCATCTTTTGAATGACATCATCTCCTAATCTGTAGGCCTTACTATCCTTCAAATTTTCTGTTGATATACAGTATTTTAAAACATACAGCACCTGGTACTTAGTAGGTAGTCAATAAATATATGTTGAATGAATGTGTTAGGCAGGAAAATAGATAGGACCAGGCTGGAAAGAGAATAAGGCCAGGAGAGCCCACTAAAAAGACCCAGAGTTAATGAGTTAATCAGTTAAAGCTCAAAAAGTCAGGAATAACTTGGCCTGGAGTGTTTGAATATTCCCCAGATAAAGGAGGGTACTTCAGCATAGTCCATGTTTTTATTGTGTTAATCAGGCAGGCCCAGCTTTTTTTTTTCGTTTGATTTTTATACTTGATTTATATGTGGATCCCACATTTTTCCCTTTATTATTATTTTTATTTTTAATAAACTGCTGAAGTGGTAGGTAGATGCAAGATAAAGGTAGAAAACATAGTTTAGTGTTGTAAGAGAGCAATTGTAGATGATCAGGTGTGTGCCTGTAGACTATGTGCTAATCTGAGC